CTGCACTTCCACAGTTCCGTCGTACTCCGAAACGCCTCCATCTAAATGTAGCCACCCTTTGCAATGCAGAACTTTCATATCGAAATCTGGAATCACTCTTACTCACTGATAGGCTTGTTCTGCATGACATCGTGAGAAAGGATGTCCGCTGGTGAATCCAGCAAGCAAAACAAATTGAACCTACAAATTTATTTGAAGCAAATATCGCACTGCACAAAACAAACAGTACAAAGAAAATTACGGTACATCTACTCTCATTATCAATACACACCTAATTCTGCTTACAGTCAAATCTGTAGTTCGGATTGATAATAATATGCACTTGAAAAACCAAATTATAGTGGGACTCACCAACTATGATAGAGCAAATCAACTTCGCCGTCCTCTTCAACAGGTGGTAAAAATGCAAACGGAGTGATGCTTTCGTCGTCTAGAGGTAAAGGTGATTATCATAATCACATGGTGAATCGTGATCCTACACACTATAATGCGCTTCGTCTGGCGGTATGTCGGACTGTCACGGTGTCCGTCATGAGATTAAATACTAATGGAGAGACTTGGAGAAACTGAGTAAAGTGTGGCATAGGTGGGTCATGTCCCAAGAGGTATGAAACGCACACCAGCTGAGCGGTAGCGGAGCCCCGCCACAGTACGTGGCGTGCTTTACCGACGACGAAAATTACATGATTCCAAAACACTGATTTGATTCCAAACACTTAGAGAGCGTGAAAATGGGTATGTGCCCCGATGAACCAGAATTAATTAGGGAGACCCTTCTGCAAAGGGGTCCTCTAGAAAGGTGCTGCTTAATGAAAAAGTTCATAACTTAATAATTCTTGAAGAGCTCCTTACCATGGCTAGAAGTGCTGGGCACCAAGTGCAAAGTTAGCGCCACCTTTCTACATCGAAACCCGTCACCAGGACCCTAGGCGCCATGAACTTCTAACAGACTCCACCAAACATAACATGGTCCGCCCACCGATCGATGTCTTGTCTGCGTCGCTGCGTTGATCTGCTATGCTCTCTCTTCTCGGAATTCTCTACCACCCTCTGCGCTCACATTATCTCTCATCTCCCTCCCTGTCTTTTGAACTTCTCCACAGCATTGAGCAAAATGCTCGTATTTCCTGTGCATGTCAGGATTTTCTTTCCTTTTTTCTCCATTGGCGGTCCACCTCTCATCCCTACTTTCACATTTGAGTGGAATCAACCCATCAATGTAATCCTGATTCTTTGCCTTTAATTGAAGATTTCAAATCCTAAAAACACTTGGAGAGCGGGAAAAGAGTGGAAAAGGTCAAGGAGGGGATAGTTAGAAAAATGTTAATAATTGAGCTAGTAGCATGGCAGCAACGTGAGCGCCGGTTTGCTAACGAGACTGATAACTCGCTTTCCTGAAGTCCGAAACCGAGCAATAGGGATCAGTAATATTCACGGAGGGAATGGCAATGCTATTGATTGGATGAGACGTGCAGTAAAGTGGGTGGAGTTTGCTACAAAAACTTACATCTTGGTCAGAGCAATTCTTGGAGCCGGAGCAAACGTGTGGAGGTTAGAGAGGAAAGGAAAGGTCAAATGCTATTGGTGGGTGGGGCATGCATAGAAATGAGTGGATGCTATAACACTTGTAAAACGATCAAGAGGCCGGAAGAAGCATACACCGGTGGTGGAGAAGACGGGAAAGTCAAAAGCCGCCGATGGCTGGGTGGAGCATGCATCGTGCGGGGCGGCGCTTAAATTCAAAACTGCCACCGGGTCGAGGGGATGGACAGAATCTAGCTTGAGAAGGGCAAGTCAAATGTTCGTGATATATCAGGTTAAATTCGTGAATTCTTGCCGTACCGGTTTTTTATCGCCCGTAGGATTGTGTTGTGCAACAACGTGCGGCGCCAACTAGTTATAACAACACTCACGTATTGCAATTTTACAGTAATCCTCGCCATACATCTTACGACACACCAAAACAGTCATTGCCAGAAGTTTCCGTGCCCAAGATTCTATGACGGTGACCTGAACAAATGAATCACTTGATCCTGCTTTTCTAGCAAAACTACAACCCGAACTTATTCAGACGATAGCTCAATGCGTAGCTAACAAGGTAATGGAGTAAAAACACATAAAAATGAAGCTCAATGATAACTTACATGATGACGCCATCGTCGACATAAAGCTGCCAGTGTTCGCCAGTATGTGGGTGAAGGGATCTCTTCGTTAAGTACCGCATGGAACCAAAGGTCAAAAAGTGTATCAACGACTCTTGACCCAACACGCATTCCCATTTCTTCTGAACACAGATTCGGTAATAATGTCACACTCGAAGATAAACCATCCTTCCTCGAGAGAAATTCCAATTACAAACACAAACAAACCTGGAAAGAGCGGGTCGGCTAGGAGGAGATCCGCCGAATTAAGTAGAAAGCTAAGTATGCGAGCCCATACCTGAAAGGTTTAGTAAACTAAAGAAAAAATTCTTCCAGCTTGAGAACTTATATGTAAAAGATTGCGGTGCCTCCATATCTATCAACATCATTCCCCCAACTGCAGGTCATTTCTCTTTTTGGGACCAAAAAATCGTACAAGCAACAAATATGTACCTCATTTTGGTATTTTCTACTTGCCGTTAGCGTCAACTCGCGCACGGCATCCAAGACTGTTTCTACTTCACGAGCTTGCCGTTCAATCGCTAAACCTCGTGGAACCTGGAACGATGTAATCTCACGAGGTTGGGTGTTTGAACCCAGTGAATGGGCAAAAAAGTTCATTTTGGAGCTGTGAAATATATGGCAGCTGTTCAAACCTTGCCCAATTAAACAAAACCAATGCAAATTCACTCGATAGCGCCTAAAGACGAACCTCTCCTTTGATATCAATCCGACGACAGAACAGATTGCGGAGAGCATCAATTATACTCCTGTAAACTTGACAATGAATTAAAACTTGCACATTTGAAATACAAAACTTTCTTGACAAATGTTTCAAAAGTATGCTGGGTTGTGAACAAAACTTTCGCCCCAGGCGGGACTAGAACCCGCATCTCTCGCTTTTTCTTGAGATGACCTAAACAAGATAGCGCCTACCCTACTTGAAATGCAATCCCCATTCCTACATGAAATACAATCTCTATTCAACGAAATTTTTCCAAGAATTCTTACAAAAGTTTCCCCAAAAATAGCAGAAAGCGTTCATAGCTTGTAACTGGGCGCCTGTGAAACTGTAGTCGCAGTATCCGTGGTCACGGTCACGTTGCTCTTACAGTTCAGTTCTGTCAACTCGAAAACCGTGTTGGACGCTTCGTTTAAAAAACCCAGAAAGAGGGTTTAGTATTTCCGACATATCAGCAGAGAAAAACAAGACGAGAGAAATCCCAGAACATACGCTAAAGCTAGAAGGAAAAGGATTCTCTAAACAGGAGAAAAGACCCTTAATCGTTGAAAAGAAATGGCGACGTAACAACAGTGATAACAAAAAAATGAGAGGGCCGTGGGTTCCAAGCCGCGGATAATGCGGTTTTGTGATCGTGCGACTTTAGAATCGCAGGGTTGCACGATCGATCGCATTCGATTCTTACGCGTACTGCAAGAGTTCAAGCTCCGAACGCTTCTTTTAGATAACTACCTAACGATTCACTTTCTTTGCAACAATTCATTCAACTCACAGTGCAGTTTTCCAGCATACACTGATAGCGTTCAACCAAAAGCGTTGCCTAAAATACCATTGCTAGAAGCTCACCTAAAGTACTTTTCTGGTGTGTCCACCAATGGTGTAGGGATATTGCCATCAGGAAAATCGGTTAAAGCTCGTAGCCAGTGCAGATAAATGCGTACAGCTCCACGGACGGTCTCGAATTCACGATGAGTGGTGAAGGAGAGCGTGAGCGAATAATTCAGTACCTGAACAAATATACTATCACAAAAGACCATTAGCCTCAGCGGTAGGAACTCTTTTGGGTGTAAATTCATGTTTTCTCAGAAAGAAAGCCTTTCGCAATCATGAGTATGAATACGTAAAAAAAACCAAACAACAAGCTACAGCCACAGAAGCTGATTTCAATTGTTTTGAGACTACCATTAACCCCGAAACCATCTTGTGCGACCGAGTGGAAGAGGTCCTCTCTTGACCGAAAATGAATTCAAAAGATATTCTCAGATGGAAAACAAAAGTATGGCTCGTCGAAAAGTTAACCGGAAAAGGTGATCGTATTGGTACTTCCAACTTCTTGTGAAAGCATTAAAGATCAGGACAGAGCAGCTGAACAAAGAACATCGTGCCCAATCGAGCTTTTTTGAGTAGTTGGTGTTAATGTTTGAGCTCTGCCTGAATCGATATAAAACGCTCTACTTGTAAAAACTTCAATCTGTGTTTATGAAGGATTGAAAACAGTTCAAGCAAAAGCGAGAGGTAAGAAAAGAGCGAGCCGAACGAATAGAAAATTAGGAAAAAAAATGTAGTTCAAGACCGAAATTGAATTTAGAAGCTGGAAGAAAGAAGTATTCTTATCTATCGGATAAAAGAAATGTACATAACTGAGAAATCAAAAGGAACCCAAAAAAAGAAAGCATCAATCAGATCAGATACATTTCCGTGAGTCGTGACACTCCTACCAGACTATCTAAAAAACGAAAGCAATCACCTGCATACACCATCTTAACTGGTCGTCAGTCTGAAGCCTGATTGACAACTGATCATCCTCGTCGCTGATGGATCTTGTAAGCTCGGAGAGAAGCGCAGAGGACACCGATTCACTTGTTGTCCTAACAAAAGTAAGCCTTGTAGATTTGGTTTATAAATCTCATCTATGAATGAAAATTGGTAGTTTTGTTCAGTGTTTCATGGTAATAAAAATAAATGAATTCAGGAATATCTCTGATAGAGTAAACTGATCTCCAGCTGTGCAAAGGTCATGGTGGGGAACGGGTGTGGTTCACTAGGACAGAAAGCGACTTTTTCGCGTTTCGCAGCGCGAAACATTTTCCGCTGCGGGAACCTCAGGTCCACCGCTGATCATCAGTGGACCCCAGAGTTTCCGCAACGAACTATGTTTCGCGCTGCGAAACGTGAAAAAGTCGCTTTTGTCCTTAGTGAACCACACCCGAGGAACAAATCAAGGCCATGCTCTGAATGGATTTCTAGTATGTAGATCTTTTCAAAGAGACAGGTCAAATTCAAGCGATCTATTCTTGAGGCCCTCAGACTGTCAATCTTCACATGAATCAGGGAAAAAATCTGCGAATTCAACATGCCCCAACAACATGCCGAGCAGAGCCTTGAAGGAGAAGAAACTCTTTTATTAGGCTGGCACAACTAATTGCGATACATTGTCTAAAAGGTACAAAGAGCTATAAAAATTGAAAAAATGAAATTGAAAATATATTTACCCTGGAGAAAAGGTCGAATATTGACTTGGTGAGGTCTGGAAACTCGAGTGTCGGCCAGTCCTCGTACATGGTGGGTGATGGCACCAACACGGCTTGTTCACCGTCACCAGTCCTGTACTCGTTCCCAGTCGGCTCAGCACGTCCTCTTAATCACGGTGATGATTTGCTCCATTTATATCGAGTAGGCTTGACAATGGTTTTGCAGACGTTAATACGCTAATCAGCGACGATCTCAGACGAGCGAGCTGGACGAGGTACTTTTCACACAGTACGGAGTCGTAGTCAGTAACGAATACTACGATCGCAATGTGCGCGATCGTTGAAGAGAGACTATTGTAACCTTCAACGTCCGTTCAGCATGGCGCAGGAGACGATATCCCGCTGCGATTCACGCGGTGCACTCACTCAAAAACAATACTTCCACTCAGTTCGAAGGATCTAATCATATATACCCATCACTAAAGCCTAACTTCATTATCAGGTGACATCAATTTTTCTTGATGTGAAACATTACACTATCATCACCTCTCACAACAAGCCGTAAAAGTTGGCGATTTTTTGATTATCAATATCCAAAAAATGAATGGGTTATGTTGTGCACTTTGTAGTATGAGAACTTGACTTCAGGAGTCATTTTATCCATACTTTGAAGAAGCAGCTACTCGGCGATAACTGGCGGTACCCCCAGGGGAGAGCCCGGTGTCAGCTGGTCTATCAGCCTGGTGGATAAATCCAAAGTTGTCACATGAAATCACTGAACGACAGACACTAAATACTGCTAAACTGACTAACCGCGCGCTGAAGCGTGTCTCAGTGACCAAATTCCTTCAAGGTGCACTCTGTTCCCGCGCGTTGGACGTGCCGTAAATGAAGATCTTAAAGGAATCTTTCCACGGAAAAAGCTCCGCCCTCATTACCACAGAAAACGATACCTTAAAGGAATCTTCCACGGAAAGAGTGATCATTTTGTCTTGTGTGTAGGATTAGTATTATCGAAACTAACGCTTATGTTCCGTTCTTTTTGCTATGCTCATGAGGCTAGGGGCCTAAGGTATCGTTTTTCTGTGGTAATGGAGGCGGAGCTTTTTCCGTGGAAGATTCCTTTAATATCGCACTTGACGACTGGGATGAAAAAAACGCGACGTTACGTATGTTTTTGAAAAGACATGGTACTATCGGATGCAACCTGTTTCCGGACAAAAGAAAAAGATTGGACAGAGGAGCCAAAACCAAAGCTAATTCTACGCATCGTAATAACTTCCATCTGCAAACAGGTGTGAGCCCTGAGCCTGAAATGGACTCATGCAGCATGAGGACAGCGAGTGGTGGTTGAGGTTGGTCACCTAACGACGGAAAAGCAAGTTCACTGATCCATACTACACTCACTATGGCCCATAAAATCGGGCGACAAACACCGCCTGAAAGATACACACCCAACGGTGGCTGTCGAGGGCTTCACTCCGCATCCTAGTTCTCGTGTGTCTCCAGATTGAAAGTTTCAACAAGTTGCAACTGTACTGAGAGTTCTACGTCCTCACAGGTGACTTTTCTCCAATGCCTCACCCGGAGCTATTGTCAATCATCTCCACCCATGTCGAGTAGGTCTCCACTGGTGTAGTGTCAGGCTCGTCCGAAATGTGTTTGAACCTACTTTGTACAAAGCATGACACAATCCATGATTCTTCGAGATTTGAGCGAAACATTTACAACTGTAGCTATATGTTCACCTCGTCCACAACTTTTTGATCTGCTTTTTTACTGATTTGCATTCCGGTCTCAAGAGCTACACCTCTCAAAAACGTATCTGATAGAGTGACGTAGCAGTTGTTTTCGGCATCGAACCGCGTAGTCACAGCAGAGTAAACAAAAGGAATTGATTACGGATAAATAAAGGCCGGCTTGAAGTGTGGAGGATACTGTGAGTTGTAATACTAGATCCCAAATCACTTTAAAAAAGTAGCGACGATCGCGACGTGTGAATCATAACAGATCTTGCAGGGGGACGGAGCATTAGCATGAACTTTCAATGCGCCGTACAACTAACATTTCGCGCAAACTCTTTCACGCCTAGCAGAAGATTCTCTACTTTTAGGTGAGAAGTGAAGAACATGGTCACAAAAAGGGCAAGACACTTCATTCAGATGAGATTGTTTCAAGTGGAGGTTTAGGAGGAGCTCGCCAACCGACAGCGACGTGAGTAATGAAAGGGTGCAAAATGGCTAAATCGAAGATGACTTCTGAGGAGCAGAGCTGAGAAAACTTGCAAATATTCACGCCCCCCCCCCGAGATAAAACCCACCAACAGCCCTGCAGTGCGTACCCGATTACCTCAACAAAAGCTGGAATTTTTAAGTTTCTCGAGTCAACCTCTCCTCATACTGTAATCCGGTACGAAATTCCTGGAAATGAAAATGATCACGCAGTGCGTGAACCGGTAAATATTTGGCAACCTTATTCTTATTCTTTATTACATGACTTACATGTAATATAACACAAACAAAACAAACCGACAATAAAATCAAAACAAAACATAAGAAAATTATATTACACAGGACACAGATAGAGGTTGAGCTGTCTCTTGAATCCAGCTAGAGATCCAGGCACCCTTACTTTTTTGGTCATTTTGGTATACTCAGAACCAGCCCGAAAGGTGAAGAAGTTACGTCTTACGGAGTAGTTTGGCCTCGGAAGAAAGATTTTGAGCGTTTCGCCCCTAGTAGAAGAAATACTGAACTCGAAGAAATCACTAACTTTCAAGTCAACCATGCCATGGAGAATCTTGTAAACCATTATTAGGTCATTTTTCTCCCGCCTGATTTGAAGGACTCAAGACGAAGCATTTTATTTCTTATAATGCTACGAGGGATACTGTGGTAAGTGAATCCCAAAGCGCGGAGGAATAGTTTTCCTAGTGAAGCTATTTTGAACTTTCTCAATACGATCCTTTGAAGATTTTTTACTTGGCGAGAAGACGCTAGTTCCATATTCGAGCATTGACCTTACATAAGTTTTATAAGCATGAGCGAGAAGCGAAATATCATTTGAACACAGAGATTTGAACAACAAGAAGAGACGATGTTCAGCTCTGTTAGCAATAAATCGACAATGCTCATCAAATGAGAGTTTGTCATCAACAATGAAACCAAGATCTTTGACGGAAGTGACTTCAGCAATAGGATCTCCCGACATGAAATAAGAGATGTGAGGGTTATTCGAACCGAGATGGAGAACCGTGGTTTTTCCAGGAGAAAATGGAAGCATCCATTCACAAGACCAGCGATTAACATCATCAAGAGCGGTCTGCAGAAGGGAGGGGGAGTGCTCGGTATCTACCCTTCCAAAGATTTTAATGTCATCAGCAAACATTTTGCAACTGACACCAAGCCTTAATGCTACACCGGGCAAGTCATACACATATATCGCAAAAAGAAGCGGAGATAAGACCCCTCCTTGTGGAACGCCTGAGGGGGCGCTCCGAATAGAAGAACAACCATTATTAACCACCACTTGAAATGTGCGATTACTGAGGAAGGCCTTGATCCAACTGACAATCCTAGGATGTAACCCTATGTGGCTCAGTTTCAAAAGAAGCAGCCTGTGAGAAACCTTGTCAAAAGCTTTTTGGAAGTCCAAATAAATTATATCAAGACTTTGCCTGCAATCTAGCGCTGAGGTCCATTCGTTTAGAGATTCCAGCATAAGTGTTTCGGTAGATTTACCTTTCCTGAAGCCATGCTGGCATGCAGGCAGTACACGGTTGACAAACAAATGTTGATCAATTCTTTTCCTCAAAATTTTCTCGAAGACTCTACAAAATAGGGAAGTAATACTTATGGGCCTGTAATTCAGCGGATCAAAAGAGGGAGACTTCTTCTTTAGGGGAATGATTAACGCATGCCTCCATCTATTCGGAACCTCAGCTCGAAAAAATATCAAATTGAACAGGTATTCCAACGGAGAAGAAATTTTACTGGAAACTAATTTGATTAACTTAAATGGAATACCGTCAGGCGTTACGGACGAACAATAATGCCAATGTGAGAGCAAATCAAGGATATCGCTACGATCAAACCATAATGAATCCCCCATAGTAGGGAAACCATTGACAGGTAAGGGAGGGAGTGCGGCAGGTTCTTGGAAGGTAAAAACGCTTTCAAAAACATCAGCAAGTAGTTCAGCTCGACCATGGTCAGAAGTAACATAGAACCATCACTGGATCGTAGGAAGCCCAAACCCTCCTTAGGTTTAAACCTTTTATTGATATACTTATAGAGTGCCGCCTTATGTTTAGATTCTACAACCTTCTTTTCTACTGAGCAATTGAACTTGAACAGTTTTCTCTCGAATTTATCACAAGCTGATTTGTAACGATCCCAATCATCCGCAATATTGGTTTCAATAGCCTTTTTATAGGCTTTCTCTTTGAGGACATAGAATCTCTTGAGATAACGGGGGATGCATTTGAGGGACACCGGTAATTTTTTTACAGGAACAAACAGATCCAAGCAATGCCGCAAAATGAATATAAATGTCTCATACATATCATTTACTGTATCCGAGCACCGAAAAGACCCCAACCAGTCAATGGAATCCAGGTAACAATATAGCCCTTTGACATTCACATTACTAAAGTCGCGAAAGTAAAAATAACTGCTTTGAACAGATACATTTAGGTGAAATTTGACCGTAGAATGGTCACTGGTACCTAATGGGGGAGATCTCTCCACCCCTGTAATGATACTGGGATCATTACACAAAAGAAGGTCGAGAAAATGAGCCGCTCTAGTCGGGAAATTCACAAACTGCATAAAGCCATGACTGTGTAGCATTTCTAAGAACTCACCATCCAGCAAATCCGACGAAATTGGGGTATCCGACCACGATATTGCAGGGAAGTTGAAGTCACCCATGAGAAGCGATGGAACATTGCATGATGAGAGATCACTCAAGCATTTGAATAACCGTCTAGTATGAGAAGAACATTTAGGAGTCCTGTAGACCAATACGACCCTGAGTTTACTCATACTGAACTGAAGGTCAACTGAGAGAATTTCATAGGCATTAGGAGT